GTGCCTCTCCCCTGGCCCAGCCCTGTGGGTAACCCCCGTTAGTAAAAACCCCCATGCAGGGGCGATCTGGACCCGGGAAGGAGTTTTCCTCCTTCTCCCTAATTTAAGATGGGGGAGGTTGGTGTTTTTGGAGGATTTGGGGTCTGTGATGGAAACCCCTGCTTGGGCTGGGACCTCTTCCCAGTCAACTAACGTGCCAACCCACGCGCCAGCCTCCCACCTATTATTTACAAAGAGGCGTTAAAACCAAGTGGGGATGGAAATGACAGAGCTCTGAATTAAGCCTGGACGGGCTTGCAGACACCCGCCCAAATCCTCTGTGTTTCCTTGTACCTCAGCACCCTTGAAAAGGAATGAGTGCGGTGGAAGACGTCCCCGCTCAAAGGACTTTTTCCCTTCCAAAGGATGTTTCTGGGTGGGTTGTTTTTTTTTTTTTACTGTAGCATGGTAGAGATTTCTGTGCCTTGACATTTCTGCAGAAGGAGAGGATGGGCTTGGGGCAATCACTGCGTCAGGCATCAGGCGGTGGGTGAGAGATGGGCCTGATGCAGCGGCGATGGCGTGATGCGGTCCTCAGCTCCCAGCCGCCGCAGCAGCAGCCTCCCGCTCCCCACTCCTTCTGCTTCCCAAACGCCCTCCCGGGGGGGGCAGCAGGGATCAGAGGATCAGCTCAGTCGCAGACATCGATTTCACAGCAATCCGAGCACTTGGGAATGGAGGCTAATCCCACTGCTGCTTTTAGTGCTTCCTCCCAAGATCTGGAGAGGCTGTGGCCTCCTGCCAGCCTCGGGCAGGTGAGGGCCCTCCTAACGCCGGAATAAATCCAGTGCTGTAGTCGAGCCTGTGGGCATTGGCACAGCTGAACCACCACCATTTTCACACAATAAAACCAAAAAATTCAAAGCATACCCCTAAAAACCTTTTATAACCCTATGTACACGCGCACTGTTGATGCATCATCAACTCCTTTTGCCTTTTTGAATTTAAAAATCCCCCAGTCCAAGGGGATGCTTCCCTAGCAAATTTTTTTTTTTTCGCTTACCAATTCTGAAATTCATCTTCCTTGAGAGAAGCTCTGGCCCTACAGAAACCGCTGGGAAAACTCTAGGAGAACACAACAGGCTTGGAGCTCGCCTGCTGAGCGTTACCAGCAGAAAAATCAGGGACTGGGAGGGCGGCGGAAAACACCTATGTACCTTTTCATTCAGTGGATACTGCACGACAGTGTTAAACAGAAGTAATCCCACGTCATAAATACAACAACCCCAAACGATCCAAAGTTAGGTAGAAGGGAAAGGCAGAAAGGAGGGGGAAAAAAAAAAAAAAAGGAGAGAAAAAGTCTTAATCCTTTTAATAGTTCTTTTGCTGAGGGTACTTTTTCACCTCTTTAAAAAGATACAGTCAAAAGCTCTCGGACAACGGGAACACGTGGCCCCAGCTCCTGCTCAGACCAGCTGTATACGCCACAGGCTGGAGAAATGCGGCAGCGC